ACTGTCTTGCTGTGAAGAAAAAGTTGGAATGATGAAGTCTATGATTAACATTTTGAACAAATAAAGTCACTCACTATTTCTCCAGAGCTTGTCAAAAGATCAAAAGAACTGAGCAGGAATGTATATGTCACCTGCACTGCCTGATGGAACATTTCGATGCTGGACTTGTCCTGACTGCATTGTCCTGTGTGGAAGTCGCCAGCCCCAAAATGGCCATCAGTGGCCCCTGCTTCCCGTGACTCTAGACCTCGCTTCCACTTACTGCAGGAACAGGAGGTACAGGTTAAAGGCCCAGTGGCCAGTAGTGAGCTGCAGGACTCTGGACAGCTGCTCTGACTATTCCATAGTGCTACAAGGGTATGTGTGTGTATGTGCACATCTGTGTGTGTGTGTGTGTGTGTGTCTTTTAAGCAAGAGGAAAAAGGGGTGATCAGTACAATATCATTAAAGAAAAGGAAGACATGAAGAGGTGTATGAGTTACACAACAAAGGTAACCACGACAACATATATAATCGTGCATCACCAATAATGATACAAGCAAGCAGACAGGCAAGATCAATGTACTACAGGCACACAAGGCTATACCCATGAGTATACGGACTTGACAAATGAGATTTCTTCATATACATCTGTATGTGCTGTAAATAAATTCATGTATATAGTAGAGCATACAGGGAAAAGAGTCAGAAATTTCTTACCATAATCAAATATCCTGAGGGAATGAATTGGGCTGGGAGCTCAGGATCACAGCCGCAGGGATGACAAGGTCTACCAGCGTAAAGTTCACAGGAACAGTGTTCCACATCCTACTGTGATGAATCACTACTGAGGTCTTACACGCTTCCAAACAGCCATCCGAGGTACAACTACTGGTGTCTCCTCCTCCAGGAGAGTGAATCAGATCAAACACTATTACTCCAGAGGCCTGAAGGACAATGAACCCATCAGTACCCAGACTCTGGGAGCAGAAGACCTAGACAGTACCTAGTCATGCCTGCTGAATGCTCTAGAATGGACCAGAATATCAGGTCCTGATTGAGTGGGAGAAAAATGTGGAACAAGACTCAAATTCATAAAGAATGTAAGGCTTGCTGTTCCAATAGACTGGAAGAACTCCTGAGACTATGATCCTATGTCACCCTTTAAATCTAGAACCCAGAAATCACCTGTAACTCAACTTTCAGACAAACAACAAACAGGTCTCTAATGTGATCAATAATACCAGCTTCTAAGTGCTTCTTAGAATCACCAACCAACTGCAATCAAAAGGACAGCATTTACTCAGGGAAAAGCTCAGACTGAGACAGGCTTGGAAGCAGGAGGGACATCCATTTCCTAGACATGCCTCTGGAAACTCTGTGAACATAAAAGAAATGAACATAGAGAAACGATGATTGCTACAGAATAAGGTTCAGATCTTTTGTTCATAGGGTCGCTATGAGTCATGCATGCTCCACTTGAAGACTTAACAACAGCAACAAAGCTCAGAAGGGAGGGGAGCTAGGGGGGACAGGAAAAAGAGTGAATGGGAATGAGGCACACAGGGAGGAAGTGGGGGAAGCACTGTTATGCTGTAGGAATTGTCATCAGTAACACAAAATAGAATGTGAGTCATTGCATGGAAAACCATTTTACTCTGTAACCTTACACACAAATCACAATAAAAAGTTAAAAGAGAATAAATGCAAAAAGAATGTAGAAATAAAATAGCTACATGTGGTAAGCGGATTTGTGTTACAAATCTGATTTGAACTCAGTATTAGAAGATGTTTTTAAAATGAGAAATTTGCTTATGCTCTTGCTACTTGATGGTATTTTGAAGATACCACAGGCTTAGCAAGAAAGTGCTCCTGGGTCTCAAGAGACACTGAGGAAAATCATTTGCTGTCAGGGGTCTGTCCGAACACCAGCTCAACAGAAAAGAAGACAGGGATGTGCCAGGCAAAAGATCCCACACCTTGTGCAGAGAAGTCAAGAGAGCTGGCCCATCACACATCTTTTGTATAGTTTGAAAATTTACTAAATAAAAAGTTAAACAATCACCTCCAGAAAATTAGGCTTCATTTAAAAACACAAAATAATTTGGTAGGAAGCAAAAAACAGGACAGAGTCCTCAGAATTGGCAGGTGAGGGTACATTTGTTCAAGGACCTGGGTCTCCTCTCTGCCCCGCTTCCCCTTTCCTCCCCACAGGTCCTGAAGCTGCATGAGGAAGCAGCTCCCCAAGTTCTGCAGCAAGCTCAGCTCGCCCCAAGTCTAACCTGCTGTCAGGGCTATCTGGGAACCTGACAAGTACTGAGACGCCTCACGGGGCACTGACGCCAGGCAGGAGCTCAGCAGGGAGGCAAAGAATGATTCTGTGCTGTGTGAATAGAGAGGCTGGGAAGAACTCAGATGTGTGTGAAATGAACACCCACCAAAGGCCTTAAGGTCAGTGTGGAGAGGGACACAGGGTCGGTCTGAGTCCGGCCAGTGACCATCTTTGTGGTCACACTGATGCTGCCAGCGTACAGCTGTGAGCAGGCAAGCTCAGAGCCTATACCCACTACATCATTGTGTCAGGCCAGCCTGACAGCAAGAGATAGAGCCAAAAGCAACAAAGCGCTTGCATGGTCCAGCGCAGGGGAACCAAAAGTCAAGACTGATCAGAGGATCGAGGAGACCACAAACATGGGAAATGACTCGGGAGATTAGGCCTGATGGCATCTGACCAAATCTAATGAGGTCAGAAAAGACTACCAGGTTGCCAGATGCCAATGGAAGCTTTGAGACTCCTCCTGCCTGTCTGGCCAAACCCTGCACACATCCCCTAGGTGAAGAATTGGAGCTACTTACACAGGAAAGGAGATTCAACATTCAGCATTGCCACACAGCACACTGGAAGAAAATGAACCTTCATCTAGAGCACTGCTCTATTAGATAAGACCAGAAATGACTAGAACAACCGCAAGCCATTTGCTGGGCTTATTGACAGCTCCACCAGTGTGACAGGCACCAGCCACACCGAGGTCTTGGCTGGGGACAACACACAGACACACGTGTTCTTGTTCCTCAAATGCTTGACCCATGCCAGGGATCTGAGTGAGCCTTTAACATCGGGCCAGACCAGCCCCCACATCCCTGTGCAATGGGGTGAGCTGCCTGGGCTCTGGAAGACCAGTGGTGTTCTTGTGGCCTTCCTTGCTGCTGTAGGAGCCACCTGATCCTGTCAGTAATGGCTTCCAGACAATTTGTACCTCAAGGAGTTCATGGATGGCACACTGGCTACTGTGCTTGGCCGCGGTCTGAAGCATGGAGGCGGCTAGGAGAAGGGTCTGTGACCTGTCCTGTGGTGGGACTGTGATGGGTTGTATAGAGGGAGGACTTCAGACACCTGTGCACTCGGGGAGTTCCCAGGTGTTTCCTGTGTGTAGCTTATCACGTATTTAGGGTCTTTCCTGCAAGTGCATCTTTCCTTCACCTCAAAGAATTAGAAGACAACAGCTCAATGTCTTCAGAGCACACTGTAGACCAAGACCTCACATGATATCCAGAGCACAATGCATCTTGGGGTTTGAGTCCGTGCTCTGGGTCGCAGTCTGACTGCGCTGAGATAGGCAAGCTCCATGCAAAACTTAGCAGCGTGGCTCGGGCAGTCAGAGGCAGGCTGCTGTGCGGAGAGCTGTGGGCTGGGTACCATGTCTCTCACAGTAGTGTCAAGGAGACTTCAACCAGACTACTGAAGACCACAGGAGAGGGGACTGTTCAACATTTAAACTGTGCAGCACCAGTTTTCACTTGAATCACAGTAAATGCCAAGAACGTAAGGCTATAAAGACCAAGTTATCTGCCTTCCATGACAGCAAGCAGGAAAAGACTCATCTGTTTTAAACTAGATTCATAGATTTAACATTGTGGAAATTTCCATTCTTCAATATTCAAGAAAGTATGATTAGGGAATTAGAAAAGAGCTGGCCAAGAGGCATTACATGGGGTCACTTCAACACCTAAACAAAGAACCCTGGGCATGATCCCCACTGAAGGGTGGTGAGAGCCTGACAGGGGTCAGTAGGGGGTTTTGTCAAGCTGCATATCTGGAGTCACAATCTTTAGATTACTCTGCAGATCAAATGTGAACCTCTCTCCAGGGGCCTGTGTGAATGGGGTGCTGAAAAACAGGCTGGCGTCCAGGGGTGCCTCAGCCTCTGAGTCCCATGAGTCTGTGTCTGAGCTGCTGGAAGCCTCAGTGGCCGTGGGTGGGTAGCTGAGTTGCTCCAGCTGGTCAAGGATGTCCGAGAACTGGAAGGCCGAGCTGCACTCTGAGCGGATTGAGCAGGCAGGGAAGTTCACTAGGGAACTGGCCCCAGACTGGCTGGCCAGCGCACTGGTCAGTGGCATGTTGCTCAGTGAGCTGCTCTCAGAGCGGTTGTTCCGCAGCGAGCTGGTCTCCGAGGTGCTCAGCAGGCTCTGCATCAGACTGGCCTGGGCCTTCACCTCCAACAGCTCGCAGGTGTCCGAGGGGTGCGTGTCACCATGGCAGCCACCATCTTCCTCAAACTCAAAGTCGTCATCCACATCCATATCGACAGCCTCGGTGGAATACCTGTCTGGACTGGACTGCAGGGACTCTAGGTGTGGGGACAACGATGGGGACACCAGGGGCAGAGCAGGTGTCCGGGTGTCCTGCAGGGCCAATAAGCCATAAGGGCAAGAGAATGCCTCAGAGCCCCCAGCAAAGAATGAGGCCTCTGTTGGGTCATCATCTATGAACTCCTCAGACACCTGAAGCTGAGGGTTTGTCAATGTGAAAAGAGGACCCCGGTGACCAGCTGGCTGGCCATGCTGGAGCTCCCCATTAGAAAGCAGCACACCCAAGACAGAGTCAACCTCACCACGGTCATGGCTGCCAACTGCTGCGTGCTCCCTTCCCCCAATCCCTGCACCTGTGGGTGAAGTCCTGCTACAGGGCGCCACTGGACCAGTGGGGCTACCACTCCTTCTGACATGACCAAAGCCAGCACCTGGGCAGGCCTGGGGGGCTGGGGGCCCAGGGGGCCAAGCCGTGTCGGAACCTCCAGTAGAGCCTGCACTGCTCCTGTCTGTAGCTCCACTCCTGGCAAGGAGCACGTGGGGGTCCCGAAGGGAACAGCTGCTGTCCATAGAACTTGGGAGGCCAGGTTGGGCCACCAGGGAGGTAGGCACAGAGTAGAAGGAGGCGTTTGCTGAAGACAGGGAGGCAGGCGTCCTCATGCCCTCGGTGAAAGAAATGCTCTGGGGATCAAGATTGAGGAGACAAAAATGAACACATAAAATAACCACTAGAAAGCTCTGAGGCTAAGTGGTACCACCAATACAGCATTTCTATCTAGCCCTGACCAAACCCAGCTGCAAAAGACTGAAGACCTGGGAGCCTACTCATCTGTTTACACACGATGGCCCCACCTTCCCCATGCAATTCCCTACATGTAAAATCAAACCTCTGGCAGCATGTGCTGCCTTGGCAAGCAGGTGCCTTTTGTTGAGGGGCAGAATATACCTAGAGGAGGCTAGTCCTCTCACCAATGGGACCTAGAGGCCCAGCGCCCATGAGCAAATGAGATCATTCCTGTAGCTCAGTGCTCACAGCTAGCAGGCACGCTAATGGGAGGGTGAGTCCTCTCTGGTCACTGCATGTCACTTGTCCTACCACCCCCGAGCACCATAGCATCATTAAGGGTGACTGGACCACGGTGTAAGCAAACAGTACAGGGCAATGTTCTGTGCAGGGCAAAGTGTGCACCACAGCAAAGGCACAACAACTAACCTAGAAACAGAATCTCACGGGCACAGTGCACACGACTCATTGGTTTTCAAAGGGTTAGTTGCCTATCACCCTTTCAAAATCACATTGAATGTTCTCTTGTATTTTTTTTTAAAAAAACCAATCTAAGAAAATTGGAAGCTGAAATGTAACTCTTTATTCAAACTTTGCTATAAAATTTTAACTCTGGAAAGGAATAATCAAAAACATATTTTAATTTTAATGTATTTAGCAAGGCCTTCCTAAGGTGGAAACAACTAAAAGAACTGAAAAATGTTTTGATTTACAGAGTCCAATTAGTGACAATGAAAAAATGTGGGGCACTTGAGCTTTAATACTTAAGGCACAAGTGCTCAGGAAATTCCATGATGGCAGGAGTGACAAGTTCTAGTGGTCAAACCACACAGAAAACGCCAACGTGGTTAGGATGCAGCACTACACAAAAACACTGAGAGTCAGTGTAAAGACATGCCTGCTGGTGGGAGTGGACAGGTGAAGTACAACACAAGATAGGGCTTGGGAGGAGCTGCGGTGTGTGGCAGTCACTCTGCTCTGCTCCTGGGAACAATGAGCAGCTGCCAGCACATTCTGGTCCACTCTGCACTGTTGTGTGTGTCATCATCTTAATAAAGTCCTCATCAGCCCAAACATTCATGAAGAGAAATTTGTTCCTGTTCACACAATAGCAAGAAATTTTCCCAGTTACTACACACTCTTTCTAAACAGAGGCTTTCAAGATTACCAAGAATTCCACAAAGTGAATACAGCTTAGGGAGGCCAGCCTCTGGCTTAGGGTGGGCATTCAACAGCCTATCAGCTATTATCAAAGTAGCATTCACTCGATTGTTTTCCTGACCACAAAAAGCAGTATGTGTTCACCGCAGGGAAAGAAGAGCCCTGCAACCTCGTCCCTCGGAGATGGTGTTTGCCATCTCTACAGCTTTTTTCCTATGGACATCTATCTACTGGTTTTTTATTATCAAAAGGAGGATCATACTACGTAAGGTGCATAAGGCTGCTTCAGAACCTATGTATTTTACTTCATGTGACATTTGGGACAATTGTCTGGGTCACTCAACAGTCTCCCAGCACTCGATTTTAAGGCTCCATCAGAGTCTATCAAGTGGGCAAACGTCATTCCACACCAACGGCAGCTATTTAGGATTTTTAGTATCACAAGTAACACCACGGTGCACATCCCAAGGCATAAAGTTTCTGTTTACTTAGGGCTCCTTTATATAAACTAAGTCCCAGAAATAGACCTGCTGCATTAAACAACACATCTAATTTTAAGACCCTAGTGACAACATTAAGGAGGCCTGGTAGCACATTAGTTAATACATTGCCACAAATGACGGCAAATATATTTCTAAGCACAGTTGGGTCGTCAATTTAGAAAGCGTGCAGCGATGTGTTAAACACTCAGCTGCTAACTAAAAAGGTGGTGCTTCAAACTCAGCAGCTGCTCCACAGAAGAATCACGTGACAGGGGGTCTGGAAAGGGTTACTACCCTGGGAACCCAAGGAAAAGGGTCACTATGTGGAGGAAGTGGCTCTATGGTAAAGGCAGTGGTTTCTGTTTGTGACAATACTGTTAGATTACTTTCTAAGGGTGTAGATGAGAAAAAACAAACAAAAACATGTGCTATCTTTAAAAAAATATGTTAGAGGAGAAAACTGGCCCTTATATACCATCATTGGCCCTATTACAAGATGTTGCTGCCACAGCCACACTATCTATGATTTGACCAGAGAGGGACTGACCTGTCTGGGTACATCTGTAGTCAGAGCTCGGGTAGACAGCCGTGTCCTGCTGTGCCTTCTGCAAGAGAGTGGACAAGCTGTGAGCTGCCAAGTGCAAAATCTCCTGATAGAAGATTTAAAAGCCCATTCCACTGCCCTTTAAGAAAAGCCTGTGTACAAGTGTGGTAAGACACACGTGACCAATTACTCTGATAAAGCTCCAGAAGGCACTGGATTAGAATAGAAAAGAAAATGGGAAAAATAAAATAAAAAGTATCTGCCCCAACAGTTATCTAACTAGACTGAAGAAAAACTCTGCCCCACTAAGAAACAACATTCTCAAATTCAAGTCTCCCACTCTGTAAACTATGCAGACTTTCTGGAAACAAAAGGCAAAGTCTGGAGAGAGAGTGCCAATACACTACCTTCAAAAGAAAGCAAACAAGCGCAAGGGCCAAACACATACCTAATGTATTTGAAATAATCTTTACACAAGTAAAGGTTCAAAATATGGAAAACATTTATTTTAAAAACATATACTTTATATCATAAAGACCATAGATGTCACCTTTCATACGGAATTTTCTTCACACCACTGTCTTTCACATAGTCTACCAGTTGTTTTTGAGTTCTTCCACTGTAAATAAAGGTTCAAATTAAAAAGATAAACTAGGAATCCTAAAGTTGAATTTTCAGTTTGAGAAAAGGAAATAGAAGACTTGTCTTCTTCTTCCATAAACACACACACACACACATTCACACAAACTTGCTTATGTATGTGTATATATGTATAAACATACACATACATGCAAACACACATACGTATACACACACACACACACACACACACACACACACACACACACACGTTCTTATGTATTGTCTAGCTGGAACTGACCCACAGCTGACCCTCTAAGCAGGTTTTCAGATAGTAAATTTCATGGGAGTTAACTGCCCATCTTTCTCCCACAAAGCAGCTGGTGGATTCAAATCATGTACCTTTAGACTGGTAGGGCAATTCCTTACCACTAAGCCACCAGACCTTCCATACTTACTTAATATTATGCTTTATAAATGTAACTGATTTGATAAGGCAAGCCTCCTAGGAAGCCTATTTCCCCTATCTTATTTGCTGTATTTCTCTAGTTATTATCATCTTACAACAGCTGTACTATACCTGAAGGTCTTCAGAATATTAACATCTTTCTTATACATACTGTAGGCCAGGGCTAGTCTTACCTGTATCGGAAGGAAGAGCCCCGGCTGAAGAAGACTGCTTTAGCTTTTGGCTTAGGTTGATCAAAAAGTCTAAAAAAGGTGTGATATTCCACACAAATCTTCCAGAAATTTTTACATTCATCTCTACTGCCTAACAAAAATTCCAAGGTATCCTGGTAAGGGCCCTAGAAGCAAAACAAGATTTTAAGTAATCAATTCCAGAAAAACGTATTAGACAAAAGAAAGTAAATTTAGAAAATGGTTCAGGCAACAAAATGCCAAACTAAGAGCAAGAAGGTTCTTTTCTACAATGCTGTGCTCGTGCCCAGTTCAGCAGTACATACACTAAGACTGGAACATACAAAGAGCAGAGCAGCATGGTCCCTGTGCACACAAATTAGTGTGCACTAAACTGTCCCACAGTTTTTATAAAACCATTACTGTAGAATGAGTCTGAGGATCCAAGGAAGGGAAGGTGGAGGCAGAGGGGTGAGGATAGGTGATAGGGTGGGTGGCAGGGTGTTAATCATAGGGTTGCCCAATTCGATGGGTGGAGGAGTGAAGGAAATGGGAAGGCTCTTCTGTGAAAAACAATATATTTGAACTCTGTAAACAAATATTTTTCTTTAAAAAATGCTGTGTGCAAGTGTTCTGGCTCCATTTACTCAGTTTCTAACTTGGATAAGGAAAACTCAGTGATGAATCACACACCAAGCAGAAGAGCAAAGCGTCCCCTACACCTATGGGGGCGCCAAAGGGCATCTCTGGAGCCTACTTTCTCCACCTAGTGAGTACAGCACCTTCCTCACCAGAGTATCTGTGTGACTTCTGACTCATCTGCTGTTTCCTGCAAACCTGTGAGGCTTTGTGTGCCCTGGCAGGGCAGTTCTCGAGGCTCACAAACGTCACCATGAGGAGACCTCGGACACTTTCACAGGATGACACCCGAGGTGGAGCAATGTGCTCCAAGCCACCATCTCTCACAGAGACGGTAATGGTGTGCCCCCGACACATCTTCCTCTTAATCTAAGTGCTAAGGACATCACGTTATTCCAGTGGAGTGCTGCTCTGGTAACTGAGTCAAAATGTCCTTTCCAGAATAACTGCAGGAAACACTGTTTTTACTTACAAGGCAAAATAAGCAGCAGTCTTTCACTTGTACTGTCTGTATTTAGTATCCTATAATCTTTCTTTTCATTCATAGAAGAAGGATTTGAATAATTTTTTTTTCACTGCTCTTGAGTTGGAACCAAATTAATAGTTGACCCTCCAGTGGGTTTTCAGAGGCTGTAAACCATATGGAAGGAGACTGGCCATCTTTCTCCCTTGGAGCTGCTGGTGGATTTGAACTGGTTGACTTTAGGCTAGGAGTCCAACTCTCTATATGGACTATGCCACCAGATAAAATGAGGATTGCTGACAAGCTGCCATCTGCCAATAGTAGACACACAGAACCCAGCACTTGACAGAAGTCCTTGCTGATTAGGCTCTGCACCAGCCAAGGGCAAGTCCTTGTGCAGGTTAGTCTCAGGATGCAGGGTATATGGATGTGAACTCAGGGACAGACCTCTCTGAAGGATCAGCCCCATGCTGGCTGAACTGGCCCATTTTCCAGTCTAACATTCTCTGTAAAGTGGCTGTATAACCATCCAAGCCTCTGTGAAACTTCTCTTTCCCATCTCTCCTCATCTTACTCAAGTCACATGGAGTTCCTTCTTTGCTTCAGTGTCTGGTGCACTTGAGTCAGTCTGACTCATGGTGACCCACGTGTGCAGGGCACTTCCTCACCGGGTTTCCATGGCTGTGACTGTTAAGAAGTAGACTGTCCATTTCTTCTGCCAAGGTGTCTCTGGGTAGGCTGGAACTGATAACCTTACAGCTAGTAGTCAAACACTTGTTTGTGCTACCCAGGGGCTAGCAATCTACAAAGAAAACCCACTGCCTACAAGCTGACCCTCTATTGTGTGTAGGGTTTTCAAAGGCCTACTATTTCAGAAGTGGATGGCCAACCCTTCTTCCTAGTCTGTCATAATTTAGATGGTCAGGTTTAGAACAGTATCTGACAGACAAGCAATTTACAGAAAGGAGCAGATGAAAGACATTTCCCAATGACAGAAGTAAACAATAGATTCAGTGTCGCCTCCACCCCCTCCCTGGCATGTGGGTCTTGATCTACCCTTTCCACTGCTCCACCAGCATCCCCTTCCAATCCTGCTTTCCCTGTTCAACAGCTTCTCCTTCCCCAGTCAACCCTTGATATCACGGTTTAGGTCTCAAATCACTTTGTCTTGCGCCGATGCGAGTCTCTTAAGTTTAGGAGGCTCTAACAAAGACCAGATGAGCTGTGAGAGAATTATCAAGAATATAATTAAAAAAAAAAGAAAAAAAAGAATATAACCCAGTAATAAGGCAAAAGGCCATTATAAAGACAAAGGAGGAAGAAAAGACCTAGATGGATGTCAGAAGAGACTCTGAATATTGCACTAGAGTGCTAAGAAGCCAAAGTAAAGGGAAGAAATCAAGAAGTTAAGAGATGAAGAGAAGATTTCAAAGGGTAGCTCAGGAAGACAAAGCAAAGTATTATAATGAAATGTGCAAGGAGGTGGAGTTGGAAAATCAAAAGACTCAAACGTGCTCAGCATTGCTCAAGCTGAAGGAATTGAATAAAAAATTCAAGCCTCGATTTGGAATACTTAAAGATGCTATGGGCAGAACACTGAATGATCCAGGAAGCATTGAAAGAAGATGGCAGAGCAATCCCAGAGGCATGCGGCTTGAATCAACCAGATGCTCTGCTGGAGAAGGAGGTACAATCTCCTCCTGTACCAGTCACATACAATTTGACAGTACACACACAAAAAAATAAGAAAATTAAAAAATTTAAAAAAACACAAACAACACAATGAAGATGGAAGGAGTACACAGAGTCACTGTATCAAAGAGAATTGGATGACACAGAAGAATTTCATGAAACAACATCTGATCAAGAGCCTGTGGTGATGAAGGAGGAAGTTCAAGCTGCTCTGAAAGAACTGGAAAAAAACAAGGCCACAGGAATTGATGGTATATCAATTGACATATTTCAATAAGCAGATGCTGTCCTGGATGTACTCACCAAGTTGTGCCAAGAAATATGAAGAACAACCAGCTAGCCAAGTGACTGGAAGAGATCTGTATTTATTTCTCTGCCAAAAAAAGGTGATCAGACAGAGTGTGGAAATTTGCAAACATTATCACTAATATTGCACACAAGCAAAATTCTGTTTAAGATTATCCAAAAAGGACTGGAACAGTACTTTAACAGAGAACTACCAGAAATACAAGCTGGGTTTAGAAGAGGCCGTGGCACAAGAGACATTCTATCACCAATATCAGATGAGTCTTGGCTGAAAGCAAAGAGTACCAGAGGCATGTCTATCTCTTCTATTTCATTGATTATGCAAAGGCATTTGACGGTGAGCACAAAAAATTGTAGGTAACCTTGAGAAGAATGGGAATCCTAGAACACTTGATTGTGCTCATGTGAAACCTATACTTGGACCAAGAGGTACAAGAGCCAGAACAGAGCAAGGAAATACTGCATGGTTCAAAATTAGGAAGAGAGTGTGTCAAAGATGCATCCTGTCTCCATACCTTTTCAATCCGTATGCCAAACAGACCATTTGGGAGGCTGGATTTTATAAGGAGTGTGGTGGCATCAGGGCTGGAAGAAGAGTCATCAATAACCTATGTTATGCAAATGATACCACCTTACTTGCCAACACTGAGGAGGACCTGAGGCATTTGCTGAAGAAGGCCCCCTGCCCCAGCCAAAGCTTGCTGTAGTCTTCAACATGGCTTGAATAAAGATTCTCACCATTGGTCCAACTGGCAGCACCATGACAGATGGAAAAGAGATTTGTTAACAATTTCAGCTTGCTAGGCTCCACAATCAACATTCTTGGCACCAACAGTCAGGAAATCAAAAGACAAATTGCACTGGTGAAGTCTGCTGTCAAGGACCTCTCAAAAGTGCTAAAGATCAGTGATATCAGTCTAGAGACTAAGGTGCATGTGACTCAGACCATGGTCTTTGCAATTACTTGCTATGAATCAGAGAAATGGACAATGACCAAGAATGACAGAACAACTGATGCCTTTGACTTGTGGTGCTGGAGAACAGTACTGAACATATCATGGACCAGCAAGAGAACAAACAGGAGAGGGTGAAACCAAGTTGTTCCTTGCAGGTAAAGATTTTGAAGCTCTGTCTCACATATTTTGGGCATGTGGCCAGGAGGGGCCAGTGCAAGAGTGGAAGACCCCAGATGAAATGGATTGACTTGGTAACTGGGGCAATGGGATTAGGTGTGCTGGAGTCATGAGGCTGGCTCAGGATAGGGCAGGGTTCAGAGCTCTTGTACACAGGGTCACTGTGAGTCAAGGGCAACTTGATGACATATAACAACAAGTCCAAATCTCAGGTACCAGGTTTAGGGAAGGATTTCTGTCTCAGACAGTTCTGAGGAAAAGTCCTTGCCCCTGAATGACTGCTTCAGGACTGACTTCTTGTGACTTAGTGCCTCTGCTCTTCCATTTGCAGCACACAGCTGTCACAGTAGGATAACTTCCTAGGAGAGTGTGAGGTCTTCTTTAGATCTGGTATGTTAGTGTTGTTTAGGTGTGGTCCATGGCCCCGAAGCTAGTTATATTTGAAGGCACTGTCTTGGTTTGAGTCCCAACTGTAGGTCAAGCCTGGTGGAATTCTGGGAGCATGGGCATTACCTGATTTTGAGAGGGCAAAGATGATCCCAGATCCTCCTGCCTTTGAAGCCCCAGAGCTAGTTATATTTGGAGGCCTTTAAAAGAACTGAGGCCTATGTACACTCATGTTTATTGTAACTTTGTTCGCAATAGCAAAGAGCTGGAAACAACCCAAGCGCCCATCAACAAACGAATGGATAGAGAAGCTCTGGAATATTCATATAATGGAATACTATGCAGCACTGAAAAACAAGGAACTCATGAAATATTATGCAAAATGGATGACCCTGGAGGACATTATGCTGAGCGAAATATCTCAGTCACAAAAGGACAAATATTGCATAGGGCCACTGTTGTAAAATGGATGGGAGATAAGGGTTGAGGAAGACAGAAAAGGAGGGAGGAATGATGTATATTGGATTGAAACAGATGAGGGAGAGAA